AACCATAACCGCGCAGAGCTGATAGAAAGGGACACCTGGTGGTCAAAGCACGTTATTGAATTGTATTATTTTATTATTAGATATTAATAGGATCTCTATAAAGTGTATTCATTACTCGTTATTCTCTACTAATAGTTCATTAAATACTGTATATAATGACTAGTTTGCACATCCCTTTCAAGATTTTATAAGCTAAGGTTTATTGACATATCATATTATACACAACTATGGTGTAGTTATGCAATGAATGAAACACTTGGGTCGCAGGTTCCTCAACAGTGCATTACAAGACATCTATCAATATTTGTGTATACTCTACCATGAAACTGTCATTCTGCACATTTCTTATACTATCTACATACATCTTATAAGAGTATAATACATATGTATAATATCAGTTTAATAATAAACAAATAAGTGCTTAAACATAGTTAACATTGCAGGAAAGCAATATATTAGACGTTAAGTACTTTGTCAAGCTTAATATTTATCTGTAGATACAAATGTCACTGTGTGTGCTGTGTGCTCTGCATGTGTGACCATTAAAGAATCAGAATACCTTTATTAGTTCCACAGAGGGGAAATGTGCAGCGTTACAGCAGGAAAGAGCCACAGACAGCTTAATGTTGCATATCTTACATGCGTTAAAAAGAGAGAGAGAGAGAGAGAGAGAGAGAGAGAGAGAGAGAGAGAGAGAGAGAGAGAGAGAGAGAGAGAGAGAGAGAGAGAGAGAGAGAGAGAGAGAGAGAGAGAGAGAGCTGTCTGCTTAGTTGCAATACTGTAGCTTATGCAATTTAGGCCTATAAATTGTTTATGTAACTTATGTGCCAGTGTGTCCATGGTTTTGAGTCTGTGTGTGTGTTGAGCGCAGCGCCGTCTGCTTTTTGCAGTACAGTAACTAAAGTAGGACTAAGCATACCGGTAGTTTCTGTGGACCGTTTTGTGAGTGCACTGCGCGCATGCGCACTTGTGTGGCATTGTTTGGGATTACCTAATTAAAATAGCGTCCCCCCAGTAAAAAAATCCCCACTACACCACTGGTTAAGCCCGATGAGAGGGGATACAGCTGTGCACATGTCATCATTAACAGACGTCGTTTAAAAGTGATGTTTGAGTGAACGAGGACATCCCAATTAATACCTGAGGACTCCTCTGTCCTCGCGTCACCTCCTCGTGTCTCTCGCTCGCATTTTACGGAGACGGAGCTAAGAGGCAAGGAAGGGAAGCGAGTGAGGGAAAGGAGGAGTCGAGGAGGGGTATTGGGATGAGGCTCAAATCTCTGGCCCCCCTTCTTCGATTTTGACATGTGACATCTCTTCCTGACCGTTAGAGCCAATAGAATCCAAGGGAAATCGTCCCGCACACAATCATGTTAAAAAAAAGATGGCTTCTTTGTGCATTCAATGAAGCTACAGAGCGTAGGAATGGCCTGCTCTACTATTTTAAAACGGAATTGCAGTTTTATTGCTTATAGTTTACCAGAACATTTCAAAGGGGACGCAGTCACATTGGATTAACCTATGGATTAACTACAGCATCGTTTTTATCGTTTTAATGCCATTGAAGACCAGTTCAGACCAGACAAAGACGAAGGTAAGCCATGTTAGCGTTGTGGGCTACCTAGCGCCACCTGTTTTGATGTACGTTTTTGTTGATAACGTCGCGAGTTTGTATCTTTCAGTGTTGAGGTGGGCACCGTTAGATTCTGTGTCTTTACGATCATAAACGATGTGTTGGATGTGCAGCTAGGATAAGTAATAAGGGAGCTAGGAGTGATTTTCGGTGCAGTAATAGGTTAGCATGTTGCGCTCTGGGCTAATTCAGAGGCTCACTGTTAGCATTGTGTGTTTTCTTTGAAAAAAAAATGAAAAAGATCAGTTAAATGAGTTTTTTCCCGTATTATGGATACAAAATATTCATAGTTTATTAAATATTAAGGTTCCTTAGACGTTGTTTCCTGCAAATGACGCGATTTCGGCCCCGGAACCGGGTCCGTGGGGATTAAGAGGTCAATCATGCCGTTTGAAAGACAGAGGTAGATGGACACGGCTAACATCATTTCTAACGTGAACAAGCATGATCTACATGATGGACATATTCCCCTGCTGTTCAGAGGAACACTCAGTTAAGGTATCATGAAAGAACGGGTTGAGAAACGTCTTAATGCTTTAAAGTCTGATAAGTATCATCTAAAGGGAAATGTGCATCACATTGAAGTTAGATATATGGACGAGGCACACATTGTTATCAGCACTGCAGATAAGTTAGTGTTAAATAAAACTGATATACTCTGAAGGAAATTAAAGCTGGAAAGGTTCAGAAACTGCATCTTACCGTTTTAAAGTAGAAGGGAGATGCATGGAGCGGCCACTCCTCATGGACTCACAGGATGGTGCAGGAGAAGCTGCTCTTTTGTCCTCTGAACTGTAACCCACGCCCAATTTTCTGACAGGGAGAAATGTTTGGAGTTTATATATCTGAATTTAAAGAGACCCTCAAGAAGCCTTTTAGGTCTTTGGCCTCACATTGCATATTCTAATTGTTTTTAATTGTGAACATAATTTCTTTATGTGCTATTAATACACTATCTAAATCAATGAAATAGCACCAAAACATACAGATTAAAATCCAGCCTTTGAATGTAAATTGGACTTGGATTATTTAAAGAGCCTGTGACAGCCTCCCAACAACTGTTGTGCAATGAAATATTGGGCTACTAGTCATCTAGAACTGTCAGTTTAAAAAAGGTGTGATACCGTTCCGATAAATATCAATCATTTCGAACATCGCGGGGAAATTCCTTCGACTCATTTTGAAGTTTTGGGGGAAGCCGGAAGTGACGTCAATGCGGGAACGCTTCACTGTGCGGCGAGAGAGCCAAACACGGACAAAGTGTGTTGTCATGCGTAGAAATGGTGAATTACTGAGTTTAGGCACGTTAATAACGTTTTAATGAAGTTGACTACAGTATATTCATATTTGTCAGTGCTTTCATGTCAATTCGGCGAACATAAACATAAATGATCGTGGTGAAGATGATGATTAAATTAGGATTACAAATTGGTAGTGAGAGCTGCTGAATTTCCTCCCGTCGGATGTGGTATAAAAACAAATCGATTATTTTTGTAGTTTTAAACTCAAGTGGATTAAATTCAGTGGTGAGCCGTCAGGGCCCTCTAGGCCCTCTGTGAGGTCCTAAGATATTCTAAAAAATAATATTTGAAACCATTAAAAAAAATATATATATTATATTTTTTGTTTGTTAAATTTTTCATTAGTTTTACCAAAATAACTTGATTTAATTGTATTTAAAATAACATTTCCAAATAAATAAATCCTTCGAATCTGCCTGTTCAGTTTCTGTTAGAATGTGAAAGGTTAAATGCCGTCTCTCTACATTCACAGAGGGCCAGCTACAGTAACGCAATGAGAGAGTAATGTCAAATGACAGTACAATTGACCAATCATATCTTCCCTCTAAATGGGCGGGCTTTATTTTTGGCGGACTTTATGACAAGTTCCGCCCGCTGTGAGGTCTATGCAAGTGGTGCAGTGACGCATCCTAAAACCCGGAAGTAAGCTTCGCTCGGATTCCCTCGACAGAAAGCAGTGGGATTTCTCCATAAGATTTTGGAAAATAGCTTGAAATAAGGTCTGTGGAAAACGAACCTGTTAGATAAATGCACGTTTTGTTCAGCCGTATAATATCCACATGTCTACCCTACTTTTATTATTTTCTAATCATAAATCTAATCGATAGATTTATGATCGATAGATTTATGATCGATAGATTTATGATTAGCATAAGTTTGTTCATGATGGCTCACTTCAGTGATAGTGATGACATCGTTTGCAAAATTATTAACAGTCATTTTCAAGATTGAGTTCCAATGATAAACTGGAGTGGCAAAGGATCAGCTGCATGACCCGCAAGTGCTTCATCCAAAAGGACAGGAGGATGGACTTTGTGTTTAGTGATTTGATCATCAAAGGTAGGCCTAAGTCATTTTCAATGTGGGTCGCCGTGCCGACTTAATTCATGTTTAATTGTTACTTGGCTGTAGGTGCCCTGTCATGATAGGTGTTTATATAAATGGTGTTGTTCTGTGTGGTAGAGGGTCGCTGTCATTAATGCGTTTTGCACCCCGGGCCGCTGTTTTGATATTCCGCTGAAGTATACGCTGTGACGTAATAACGCTTCTTTTTTTTCGAGGGAAGGGGGGGTCAGAGGGCCTAGGTATAAAAGTCACGGCTCGCCACTGATTAAACTACATTTATTAGTGCTTTCATGTCAATTCGGCGAACATACAATTCATCAAATGATCGTGAGGATGATGATTAAAAATCGTTTGTTTGAGCCGGTCTGCATTTCCTGATGAAAAAACAAACCGATGCTTTTTGTAGTTGTATTACACCAACATGGATTAAACGTGTGGTTTTTTTACCACAATGTTGGGGAAATTAATGCAAATAAAATGCACGGATTATGATTATTATTATTCCCACTCCGATCGGGACACTAGGTCCACCGTTTCCCCGCAGCGAGGCTCCCCCCGTTGACACTTTACGTGGGCTGGGTGCAGTGGCGGACTGGCCATCGGGACGAATCCCGATGGGCCGGTACCGAAGTGGGCCGGTCGGATAAGTCACTAGCACATCCCCCACTCCCCCCGTTGACAACTTTACTAGCGGTACCGAAATGGGCCGGTCGAGAGTCCCGGGCTGATTTTTAGTCCCAGTCCACCACTGGCTACATGACCGTATGATCGCCCATATCGACGCACCTAATTCCTAAACTTCTAACAGATACAACATAAAGCCGATCCTTCAGCCTCATATGAGCTCTCAGACACGTTCAACATTAAACTGTCATCGCTGTCTGAGCTTGCTGCTGTGTGCGCCATCGTGCATTTACATGCAGATGCTGGGATCCTGAACCGTGCAGCTGGAGCGCTGTGCCCGCAATGACGTCACACATAATTTGGCGGCACTTGAAGAATCCCCGAGAAGATCCAGAAAATGGTCAACATTGAAGGGCAGATTAATGGTTATCAAAGTACAAATATCCAAAATCAGTTCAGTAACGGTTTTCAAGGGGACAATATTTACTCAAATTGATGGGTTTGGATGATGGGGGAAACTCGTGTCACAGGCTCTTTAAAGAGGGAATTACAAGTTCATTAATAAATTACATTTCCTAATTCTTGTTTTTCTAAAGACCAAATCTTTGGTCTTTAAAAGTTTGAGAACAACTGCTCTAGAACAAAGGCATTCCCTTCAGGATAAGGTTTGTTCAGCTAGTTTCAATGTTGAATATTGATGTGATGTTGAAACTAACAGCACTTTGCCGTGAATGGAGTTACGGCAGTCTTCTTTTTTTATTACAACATTGTTTTTTAGTGAAGGAGGCGCTGATAGCACAGCACTGTGCTTCACTTTTTCATTTGGGTTATTCAAATCAAAATGTCATGAGGTTTATAACCAAAGACTAAATGCTTTGAATCAAAGAAACAGGTGTTTTTTTCTCAAAAAAACTAATCTCTTTGAACAAAACATTTGGACGTCCAGAATGAACCCAGTAAGTCAGTCAAACAGCTGGATCTGACATGAACATAAAGAAATCTTCATCTCACCTCTTTTGTGCCTCAAACCAACACTTCAACTTCTCCTTGAATACACCCATGGTCAAAGAACTACAGAATAAAATAAAAAGACAAATCTTGCCAGCCAATTTTTAAAATGTATTGAAGAAGTATTCAGACTCTTCATGGACTCACAGCTCGGTGCAGGAGAAGCTGCTCTTATCTTCTCAGGATTGGGTCTGCGTTTACTGACAGAGAGAAATGTTAGGAGCTTATATATTTGTACCTAAAGAGACCCTCAATGAGCCTTTTAGGTGTTTGGCCTCTCATTGAATATTCTTCTATCACTTGTTTTTAATAGTGAACATTCTTTATTTATTTAATCAACAAATAAATGAAATAGCACCAAAATATACAGATTAAAATCCAGCCTTTGAATGTGAACTGGACTTGGATTATTTAAAGAGGGAATTACAAGTTGATTAATAAATTACTTGTTATATTCCATTTCCTAATTCTTGTTTTTTTAAAGACCAAATCTTCATTTTGAAAGTCAGAATGTAATGTATAAGTATTCCTGTTTGATAAAGTAGAAAAACAACTCATTCAGGTTTCCCTGATAACAATCAGGAGAAGTGAATACCTGGGGAAGATGTTAGATGTACGAACACCGAGCGAGAAGAGATGCCTGTAAGAGAAGAAATAATGACACAAGTTATTTTATTCCTACAGTTCTTCCCCTTTCTTTGTTAGAAGTGAAGAACTTGAACACAACATGTACAGCCATTAGAATATGTATATTTGACTCTGTGTTAAATACTCATTATGAAGAATGATTTCATTTCAGAATAATGTGTATTTCACTATTTAATTATACTATACTACTAATGAGTTAATAATTTTAATATAGTAGCTGTTGAAAATACATCTAATTTCAGCTCATTTATGAACTGGTTTTTATTAATTAATTGTTTTTATCATAATTAATTTTTTGTTGATTAATCATTATATCATTAAATTAGTAAAGTTGATTAAATGTTCATTAATTCCCCCTAAATGTAGGGCAGTAGACCTATGAAGTAGCAGAAAATGAAAGTTAAATGCTTTAAAATTATCCTGAATTACATTAAATGTGTGTATTTCTTGTTAACTTAAATAATGTTTGATTAAATATGACAAGAGAGTTTCCTGTAATCGGAAATAACACATTGCGTGAGATCTCCTTATAAAACAAAATGTTGGATAAAGGCAAGGCAAGTGTATTTATACAGAACCTTTCAAAGACAAGGCAATTCAGGGTGCTTTACAAAAATGAAAGAGATTCAGAAAAAGGCATTTGAAATCAGTCATTAAAAAGAAAAGATAATAAAAGAAACATTAAAAGAAAAAAATACATGAATAAAAAGTTACAGTGCAGTTTCAGATGTGAATAGTTCACACAGAAGTTCCACTTTACTGATGCCTTTAAGGTTTCTCCGAACATGAGCTGTGTACGCTTGTATGGCACATACGTCCCGAGCAGCACACAGAGAAAAGCAGCCAGGACAAAGTCCCCAGACTCTGATTCCCTGGGGTTACTAGCCCCAAATGTTCATTAACCAAAAACAAAACACAACGGCTCAGTTTCAATTTAAAGGCAGCGGCAAAAAGAAAAGTCTTCTTGCTGGATTTAAAAGTAGTCAGAGTTGCAGCGGACCTGCAGGTTTCTGGGAGTTTGTTCCAGATATTTGGAGCATAATAACTGAACGCTGCTTCTCCATGTTTAGTTCTGACTCTGGGGACAGAAAGCTGACCAGTCCCTCAGCAGGGTGGGGATGGAGAGGAGGTTGGCTTCTGATGAGCAGGAGGCAACGGGAAGGGGTGTGGTGGTGCAGCAGGTCTATGAGGTAGGGGGGGGGGCCTGATTGTTGAGGGCTTTGTAAGTAATCAGGAGGACTTTGAAGTTGATTATTTGACGGACGGGGAGCCAGTGGAGGTTCTGGAGGACGGGAGTGATGTGGTCTCGGGAGCGGGTGTGGGTGAGGAGGCGGGCAGCAAAGTTCTGGATATGTTGGAGTTTATTGAGGAGGTTGGATGGTATGCCGTAGACTCGTAGAGGATGCTATTGCAGTAGTCGAGTCGTGAAGTGATGAATGCATGAATCAGGGTCTCAGCAGCAGAGGAGGAGAGTGATGGGCGGAGACGGGCAATGTTTTTGAGGTGGAAAAAGGCGGTCCTGGTGATGTGATTGATGTGGTGGTTGAATTTGATTCAATTTTATTCAATAGCCAATTAGAACTTATTTAAACCACAGTTTCAATTATCTCAAGCTTATTTTCATTCGTTGTAGTATTTTGATAGTATGATTTATTTTTTAATGAATGTTATTCAATCAAGCCTCAAACTGATGGCACTTGTCCCTATAGCCTGTTTTTAAATGGAAGTTGTCTGAGGTCCTTCCCATCAGCTGCTCTTGCAGTAATAAGTAGTGTACCTTTCTTACTGTCCTAAATGTGCACAATATAGTGACTGCTTTTCGTCTTTTGTTTACTTAGTTGTGTTTTCTGTATTTTTTACGTCTGTGTTATGTGCAGTGTTGGGACTAACGCGTTACACAGTACACACACGTTACACATTTTTGGCAGTAACTAGTACTCTAACGCATTACTTTTTGAATTCAGTAACTCAGTTACCGTTACTACATGGTGCGTTACTCCGTTAGTTTTTTTATATAGTCAACAGCCAGGCGAACAGAGATGAGAACTGTACTTAAGTAAATGTACTTAGATACTTCCTGTGTCACATGCGGAGACGCGCTGTGGGCGTGTTTGTGTTGTTTACTAACAAGACTATCATGGCGGCGGCGGAGCTCAAGTCGAGTTTCTCCACCTGGAGATATTCTCACTATTTCACTTTTGTCGAGCACAAAGAAAAGAACGTTTTAGTTAAATGTAAGTTGTGTCTTGGCGGGTCAAAGAGCCTATCTACTGCCCAAACCAGTCATTCAAATCTCTTAAAACATCTGCAAAAAACAACATGCTGGGACGAAGCTAGTAGCTAAGACCACAGAGACTCAGCCGACGCCACTCCACCTCCACCTAAGCAACAGCGGCTGGATTTTAACCGAGGGACTGCTAGCCAGGGAAAAGTGGATAAAGCCATTGCACGGTATGTTGTAGAACACATGCAGGCTATTGCTACAGTGGAGTCACCCGCTTTCAGGGAGCTAGTTAGCATGATAGCATGTCCGGGCGGCACACGGCATATGGGACGGAACACTTTTTCCAACTACCTGGAGAAAGAATATACAAAAATGCAAAGCCAGCAAATATCGATGCAATCCAGATTGCATATAATGCATGTCAAGTTGATCAACAGATTGTATTATTCTCCAATGCAATGACAGTACTGAAATGAAGGCTATCCTTATAGCTGTTTGTAAGTAACTAAAACAGTTACTTTTCACAGTAATGCATAATTTTTTTGGTGTAAGTAACTAGTAAAGTAACGGAGTTACTTTTGAAATGAAGTAACTAGTAATGGTAACTAGTTACTGGTTTTCAGTAACTAGCACAACACTGGTTATGTGTAAGAACTGTTGCTGCCTTCTTGGACAGGTCAGCATTGTAAATGAGATGTTGTCTCAATGTTGGTAAAATAAAATGTAAAATGTAAAAAAAAAAAAGGTTAAATAATATTTCAGATTCTTCCCCGTACCACTAGCGGGAGCTGGCGTACCACCAGTGGTACGCGTACCACAGGTTGAGAACCACTGGCCTACAGCAAAAATAGTTACAGCATATATTTAGTGATTTTAATGTTAACAGATCTTTGATGCAATAACATTTTGACCGACTTGACACATGGAATAAAACATGGGCGTAGGAAGCATCCTCAATGTGGGTGAGACAATTTAACAGGGGGTGTGGGCAGGTGGTGGACCTCACCTCCTCTAGGGGGGTCCGGGGGCATGCTCCCCCGGAATAATTTTTTTAAATTAAATGTTGAAGTTAAATGCAACTGTTCTTTCAACATTTATTTGAACAGCAAGTGGAGGCAAAAGTGACTGCACCCAAAACAATAGACCTGCTAGCTAACTAGCCTAAACTCAGTAACAGAATGTGGGCAACACGTTCTTCTCCACAGTGCGACCTCTGAGTCAGACATCACTTCCCCCTTTTCTATCCTACGGGTACAGCCACTCGCCCTGAACCCCGTTTCCCTGCCAACCCCCCCAACAGGAGTGATGTGATCCACTTTCTTAGTGTTAGTGAGGACTCGAGCAGCGGCATTCTGAATCAGCTGCAGCTTTCTAATAGATTTTTTAGTGAGACCTGTGAAGACACCATTGCAGTAGTCCAGTCTACTGAAGATAAAAGCATGGACAAGTTTTTCCAAATCCTGCTGTGACATTAGTCTTTTAATCCTAGATATGTTCTTTAGGTGATAGTAGGCTGATTTAGTAACTGTTTTAATGTGACTGTTGAAACTCTTCTGCCTTGGCTCGAAAAACCATTACCTCAGTTTTGTCTTTGTTTAATTGGAGAAAGTTCTGACACATCCAGTCATTGATTAAAGATAAACAACAACTTTTATAATAACATCACTAACTTTAATTCAGCTTCGGTTGTGGTAACAATGTACAGCAACACAAAAACATCGCGACCAACCGTTACATTAAAGGTTTATAAAGTTTTCTCGAACAATGAGGAAGTTTGTGCTAAGCTAACTGAGGCCTTGCTAGCATACAGGGTTAAAGACAGTTATAAACTAGATAGCATTCGAGGTAACGTTACAGCACGAGTAGTATTACATATATAAATATTTCATATGTAGTGAGACTGAATCAAAGTGTTCAATAATATACGTTTATATATACGTTTATATGTCAAGGGTTGAATCCGCAGATCAGCTTACCTTTAGTGCGCAGCAGTTATTTGTCAAAGTGAAAGAGTGAAACTGTGACTCAAAACATAACAAGGAGGTGTGACGGGTCAGTTGGAGGTTGGTGGAATAGAAAACACAAGGATTACAGGGAGTCAGACATTAATTAAATGCGTTTCTGAAATCATTTTTTAATTAAAACCTCACTGTAAGAATATCAGTCTTCTTATGGACCATCCAAGTGGATATAATTGATTTTCAGGCGGGTATAAAGTAACAAAAACAGGGGTTATTTGACACGAGAGATCTCAAAACTCTTCCGCCTGGTCCCGCCCAGTACTCTGCTGTGAATGGCTCATGCGGTTCTTTTTTTACCAGCTTTCGGTGCACACTTTGACACCAGTCGTTTGTTGCTCTCGATATGTGTAACAGGTACTGTATGTGAATGAACAGTGCTGCACAAGTACACACAGGCTTTACTTGAGTAAAATATTATAAGCAAACAACACGTTCTTTAAAATCTACAATCGTAAATGAAATTATTTTTTTTTACTAAATGTAAGAGATACCAGATAAATACACTTTTATAGCTGTTATGAGTTTTCTTGTCTTTCTGTAAGTCTCTACTGAAAAGATGATTAAATGTCTAAGTAATAATCCCTTGTAGCACAGACTCCAAATATCTGCCTATAGAGAATGTGTTTTTGTGTTGTGTTGTTGTTGGTAAGGGATTTTATTTAAAAGTTGAATAGTTATATTATAAAACCTGATCATTATCCGCCCTTGTTATGTCCAGTTATGTGTATTTAGAGTGTATATAACTGACCTACTTTCTTTTATCTACAGGTGTAATTTCAGTTTCACTTTTACTTGTGCCCGTGTGAAATATTCTAGTACTTTTCCATGATGTGTGAAGCCAGAAGAAGCTGTGTGCTTAGGAATTCAGATGATAGACGAGACAGTTTTCTTTTCAAAATATAATACAATACAACTTTATTTGTAGCACTTTAAAACCTCCAGACTAAAGCGCTGTTCAGAGAAATAAAGAAACAAATTAAATACAGGAAATCACACAGCTCAGCTCTCATAGAGAGGCGAAGTCTCTCCCTTTTCCTGTTGTCCCCACATGCTTTAAAACCACCGCCATAGTGCCAGTGCCCAAACACTCTGCTGCAGCAGGCCTGAATGACTTCCGTCCCGTTGCACTTACACCCATTCTCATGAAGTGCTTCGAGAAGTTGGTCGTAGCACAGCTTAGGCCCCGGCCACAAGAGGACGATAACGGTCGTTTCCGTTACCGTTTTGTGTCATATAGACCATTCGGCCACACTAGGACGACAGAATACGGCACTAAACGACTACGGTAACGATAACGGGTCCCAAGGTGGATAGAACGGCATACGCAACGCTCTGGGGGGTCAAACGGCTCCGTGTGTACGCCCTTTACGATCATTTTGTGATAATGATGAGGCAATAGCCCGCCTCTCCCCACCTCAGCTGCTCACCCCCGCGTCAAAGTAAACTGCACACTGAATTCAGATGATTTATCTTTCTCTCGATATGGACCTAAACGCGAGTGAAGTCTAATCTGACAGGACGGAGACACGCAGCTCTGCTCACCTGCAGCTCCTCTCGCTGTGATGCAGCGGAGAACGGAGCAAAACACACACTTCAAGTCAGATCATCTATTTTAATTACCTCTCAAACTACCTAAACTAGTTATAAATATGTTTATTTTTACTGTCGGCCGGGTCACCATTACTGGATCAGCTGCTGCATGAAACAGACACTGACGCTGTCAGAAGAGAGGGAGGAAAAAGAGAGGCTCCGTGTATTTTATTATAATATTATATAGAGTCGTTATTCATTCGTTTTAAAGCTCAATAAATAACAAAGAAGACCTTTGACCGGCACTTTTATAAGTTTTGTCGGAAGATTTAAACTTTAATACACGTTGACTGGCGAAAAACTCTGCCCGGTTCCCTCGGCCCCCACCGCGGAGAATAAACAGAAGGGTAACCATGACAACCATGACAACCATGCTTCTTCGCTGCTTTTGTGGAGGAAGTTACAGCGCCACGTACAGGCTCGGCATATGTACTGCAGCTTCTCCAGCGGTTGGAGCTAAACGGAGCGGTCTCGTGTGGACAGACACTATCCGGTGAATATTGCGTGTGGACGGAAGCTTTTTTGCGATTGCGTTAATCCTATGCGTTTAGCCGTTTTCATCCTCGTGTGGCCGGGGCCTTAAATCCCGCCTATCACAGACACTGGACCCCCATCAATTTGCATACCGGACTAATAGGAGCACGGAAGATGCTGTTTCCATAACACTTCACACCGTCCTCTCACATCTAGAAAAAAACAACTCCTATGCAAGACTGCTGTTCATCGACTTCAGTTCAGCCTTCAACACCGTCATCCCCTCCAAACTAATCACAAAACTCAACGACCTGGGCATCGACGCCCCCCTTTGTAATTGGATTTTAGACTTTCTAACCAACAGACCCCAGCATGTCAGGTTGGATAATCTCTCTTCCATGACCCTCAGCCTAAATACCGGTGTCCCACAAGGCTGCGTGCTGAGCCCAGTCCTCTACTCCATCTTCACCCACGACTGTACCCTGTACATGGTTCAAACACCATCATCAAGTATGCAGACGACACAACGGTGATTGGCCTCATCCACAACAACGATGAGACGGCCTATAGGAGGTTCAGCATCTGACTGAGTGGTGTGCTGACAATAACCTGGCCCTTAACACAACAAAAACAAAATAACTCATTGTGGACTTCAGGAAATCGAAAGGCAACACACACACTCCCATCCACATAAATGGAATGGCGGTGGAGCGTGTGTCTAGCTTCAAGTTCCTGGGGGTCCACATATCCAATGACCTCTCATGGTCCAACAATACCACCAGTATAGTAAAGAAGGCTCACCAGCGTCTCTTCTTCCTGAGGAGACTAAAGAAAGACCACCTCTCTCCTCAGATTCTGGTGAACTTTAATTGCTGCACCATTGAGAGCATCCTGACCAGCTGTATCACAGCCTGGTATGGGAACTGCACAATGCTCAATAGAAAGGCATTGCAGAGAGTGACGAAAATCGCCCAACGCATAATCGGTGTCCCACTCCCTGCCATCGAGGACATCCAGGGGATACGGTGTTTGCAGAGGGCGCTCAACATCTTCAAAGACACCTCTCATCCTGCAAACTATCTGTTTGTCCTCCTACCCTCGGGGAGGCGCCTCAGGAGCCTCCGGTCCAAGACCAGCAGGTTCAGGGTCAGCTTCTTCCCCAGGGCTGTTACCCTGCTGAACTCTGCCCGCTGATAGACTCAAGCCCATACCCACCACCCACCTGTTTCTATACTGTCAATGCCGTTTACACTGTATATATTCATCTGTTTATAGCCTATTTATAATTATTCTATTTATAATAATTCCATGTATAATTATTATCATTATGTAGACTCCTGCTCTGCTATTTTGCACTTCTGGTCAGATGCCTAAACTTACATTTCGTCACTAGTACATGTACTACGTAATGACAATAAACTGGAATCTGAATCTGAATTCTGATTCTGACGGTTTATTCAACAGCCACAGCTTAATATTTTACAGTTCTTTAAATGTTTTGTGTGTTCATATTTAAATACGTAAAGTTTAGGATGTCAGATAAATGTAGCGCGGTAAAAACGACATGATTATCCTTTGAGATGAAGTGTATATAAATATAAAGTAAAAAGAAAATACTCAAGTAAAGTACAAGAACCCGAAAATGTGCCTTTAAGTAAAACACTTGACTAAATGTAGATATTCATTTCACCACTGATTATTGCATAAAACCCTAAAAACTGTCAAAATAATGAACAAATGTACACAAAAAATTACTTATTTGTAAAGTTGATGCCATTTTTTTTCAACCCATTTATTGTTTGAGGTTTTATATATAATCTTTGACAGTTAAATGTACCTTTAAAACAAGATATTCATTATTTGGGTGTCAAAATCAACATTTAAAGTAATTTAGATGAATGTAGTGCAGTAAATATGTAATAAGTAAAGTACAAATATATTACGTTTGCTTAATTAAGTACATTACTCGAGTAAATGAACTTTCACCGGCTGCTGATATTTAATGCATGTTATTTAAAAAGCAGGCGCTCAGATGCAGAACAGAGAGATTATTTTACATGAAGTTTAGTTTCACACAGAAGGTCACGTCTCAAAGTGTTTGTGTTTTAGTCTTCTTCTTCTTTGGTGTGACGTCAGAGGTCCAACTCGGTGTCGTGTAGCCATGCCCGCATCTCTGGTCCTGAGTGGAAGAGGCTGGCTTCAGAGGCTGGTCTAGATCAGTGATTCTCAAACTTTTTTCAATAATGTACCCCCTTTGAAAAATAAATTCAGCCAAAAACAATTTGTTAAGGAGAAAATGCCTACAAAGAGGTACAGCACAGCGCTGCACCATCAGTGTCTGATTTATTAAAACAACAACCTTGTAACTGAGAAACACTTAAATGCTACATTTAAATGTTTACAAACCATCACTAAATTCATGGCAAACCAATTTTAACATCATGCAATAACACTAAGACGACATTAGTTGCATTGAACTGATCTTTTTAATAAGTTGTACTTACAATGTAGTGAAACATGGGTTTGAGCTTCACTGAGGATCTTTGTTATTCTCAGTGACAGGAAGGCCACTGCAGTTATTACACTTTGCGTTTTGAAATATGTGAAACTCTGTTAATATAAAACCCACACTGCTCAAACTTCGCTACTTTTCCTGAATTTTTTTTTTTTTTTTTCATTAACATAAAATAAATGTCACGTACCCCCTGCAGTACTCCAACGTACCCCTAGGGGTCCGCGTACCCCCATTTGAGAACCACTGGTCCTGATAAAGGGCAGGTGGTGATTATGTGTTGGCCGTTCAGGGTCACCGCACTCGCATGCAGCACTGTCTGCCAGGCCCCACTTCTTCCTCCATGTTTTGAAGAGACCCCAGTTCGTAGACGGTTCAGTGTGGTCCATTGCCGGCGTGTATTTTAGTCTAAACAACAGCTGGACCGAAGACGGTCTTTTTCTCGATATTATTCCTCTTCTAGTGTTCAGGAGACGCTTTCCTCAACATCCTCCACCGCCTCTCTGGAGAAGGTAAGCTCAGATATTCATTTAATACAAATATACAAACTCTTCCACAGGATAAACAAAGTATTCTGATGATGAGTATGTAGCATGTATAGATACAAATAAAAACAAGAGGTCAGATTTCACGTTAAAGCAGAAAGGGGGAAAACATCAGGGAAAATATATTAAAATTCATATAAATGATAATAAAAAACATAGAAAATGCCTTAAATCTGAAAGCACTGATTTAAAAAAAAAAAGAAGCACATTTGCTTTATGTGTGTTCATTCTTTCTTTAAAGAAGTGAGAAAACATATATAATAATACAGAATTGCATTACAATGATTTCACAGATGTTTAATCTAAAATAAAATGTGTACAAATATAATATTCATATTAGTAATGATTGCATAAAACAAAGAACGTGCATTAGCCTGTACCTTCAATACAAATAATTATGAATCAGCTTAAAGGAAGGTTTTTTATTTTTTATTAGCACAGATGTTAAGAGCTGTCATTGTATGTCCTACATTCACAAATCATCATCCTTCAAGGAGATAGTAAACACTGAGACTTAGTTAGAAGTTATTATCTATGTCTGAAGTTTGTGTTTTTTTGGCTAACATGTGAATTCTGTACAATGACTTCCCATTTACAATAAAAGGTAATTGGTTGAAATAATCTTTATTTGTATTTTGCAAAGAGAAATCTTAAAAAATACAAGTAAAAAACTACTGGAAGAAAATCTCCATCACCAGCTCTGATGCTGTGATAATGTCGTAATAATAAAAATAACCGAGACAAATGGAGTCCAGGTCTGTCCAAGTCCTGTCCAGGGTCCTGCATTTATCCCTGGATCTCTGGAGAACAAATACAATCAGTAAGTGATGAACAATGTAGGTGTTGTAATGCACGTTACAACATTAACTTGTAGATGTAGGAAACCCATGGAGCCGTCGCTCTTCATGAGCACACAGCTCGGTGCAGAGAATCCAAAGGTAAAGGATGGGAAGAAAACCCGGACTAATAGTGTCTGATATGGATCATCTAAAGATAAAAGGAGCATCACATTTAAATAAAGAATAAGGACGAGGATAGTTACACTCTGAAGACAGTTCTGGCTCAAAAGGTTCTGTTGACCTACAGAGACATTGACTCTTACCGTTGGAAAGCTGTAGGTTAATCCTTGGAGCGGTCACTCATCTTGGACTCACCGCTCAGTGCAGGAGAAAACTGCTTCTTCCTCCTCAGGAATGACGCCCTCGCTGCGTTCACTGACAGGGAGAAATGTTAGGAGATTATATATTTGTACTTAAAGAGACCCTCAATGAGCCTTTTAGGTGTTTGGCCTCTCATTGCATATTCTGCTATTACTTATGACCTATTACATTGATTTACACAAACAAATCAATGTAATAGGCAACCAAAATATTCAGATTAAAATCCAGCCTTTGAATGTGAACTGGACTTGAATTATTTAAAGAGAGAATTACAAGTTGATTAATAAATTACTTGTTATATTCCATTTCCTAATTCTTGTTTTTTTTAAAGAACAAATCTTCATTTTGAATCCCAGTGTGTTGACTTCACTCTGCTTTCATCAGCATGTCCAATTTTCCCACAAACAAAATCTAAGCATGTACTCTATATACTTAATGTACTTTCACCTGTTAAAGTTCAGAGTTTAACTCGTGTCATTTTTGTTTTTTATTCATACTATCACTACATGTTTATTTGTATTCTATAGATTTCCATAATCTAAAGAAAAATCTCATTACATTTATATAAAAAACAAGGACTAGGCAAATAGATAAAAATCAACAATGCAGGAAAAGTAAATGCTCAGACTTTTAGTCGATTAAAACTTGGCTAAATAGAAACAGGATGAAGGTGACTATATGACTAAAACTAACGAGGACATTTGACACAGGACTAAGACTAAATGAAAAATATCTGACAAAATGAACACGTCAAGGCATTGTGCTTCTTTGGAGTACTGTGGGAGGGGCTGGAAGATTAAAGAAGAAAGTTACATTACATGATTCTTTAGTTATTTATGTGAATTTATGGAGGAGAGGAGGAATGAGGAGGAGGAGTGATGAAGGAGGAGGGAGGAGGAGGAGCAGGATGGAGGAGCAGGAAGGAAGCGGTGTGGAGTCCTTCTTCTTCCTTCTTACTTCTTCTTCCTTATTCTTATGCTTCATCTTTTAATCTTCGTCTTCTTTCTTAACTTCTATCTTCTCTTCTTCTTCTTGTCTTCTTTCCTTGCTTCGTCTTCTACTTCTTTTCTTCTTTAATACGTTCTTCTTACTTTCGCCCTCTTTATATCTCCCTGTTTCCGATCTCCATCATCTATAGAAAATGGCTGACTAACCTTTACGGTAAATCATGCCGTTTGAAAACAGAGTAGATGGACACGGCTAACAAAATTTCTAACGTGAACAAGCATGATTTACATGATGGACATATTCCCCTGCTGTTCAGAGGAACACTCAGTTAAGGTATCGAGAAAGAACGGGTTGAGAAACGTCTTAATGCTTTAAAGTCTGATAAGTATCATCTAAAGGGAAATGTGCATCACATTGAAGTTAGATATATGGACGAGGCACACATTGTTATCAGCACTGCAGATAAGTTAGTGTTAAATAAAACTGTTATACTCTGAAGGAAATGAAAGCTGGAAAGGTTCAGAAACTGCATCCTACCGTTTGAAAGAAGGAGGGGAATCCATGGAGCCGTCACTCATCGTGGACCCATAGCTCGATGCAAGAGAAGCTGCTCTTATCTTCTCACGATTAGGTCTGCGTGGACGGACAGAGAGAAATGTTAGGAGCTTATATATTTGTACCTAAAGAGACCCTCAATGAGCCTTTTAAGTCTTTGGCCTCTCATTGCATATTCTTCTATTACTTGTTTTTAATTGTGAACATTATTCCTTTATGTGCTATTAATAAAACATCTAAATCAATGAAATAGCACCAAAATATACATATTAAAATCCAGCCTTTGAATGTGAACTGGACTTGGATTATTTAAAGAGGGAATTACAAGTTGATTAATAAATTACTTGATATATTCCATTTCCTAATTCTTGTTTTTCAAAAGACCAAATCTTTGGTCTTTAAAAGTTTGAGAACCACTGCTCTAGAACAAAGGCATTCCCTTCATGATAAGGTTTGTTCAGCTTTTCAATGTTGAATATTGATGTGATGTTGAAACTAACAGCACTTTGCCGTGAATGGAGTTACGGCAGTCTTCTTTTTTTATTACCATGTTGTTTTTTAGTGAAGGTGATAGCACAGCACTGTGTTTCACCTTTTTCATTTGTGTCAAAAATGTAACTAACTAATCTCTTTGAACAAAACTTTTGAGAGTCCAGAATGATATGGAATGCCATTTCAGCCAAAATTAAATAAATAAATACATAAATAATTAAATAAATACATATAAATATGCCTATGAAATAAATTCTGAAATAAATAAATGAGGCAATAAATATTTATACATGTACAATTTAAATTTATTTATTTCATGGGATTTTTATTTCATAATGACACATTTATTTATTTCAAGAGACTTGTATTTCATAATGACACATTTATTTATTTCAAGAGACTTGTATTTCATAATGACATATGTATTTATTTCATATGACTTGTATTTCATGATGAGACAAATGGACGGGGCGTGGTTAGCTCACAGATCCAGACCAAAGCAACAGCACCACAACACTGACTCAATAGCTTTTGTTTCACACTCCATTACTCTTAAGTGGTTTGCAAACTGCCAATAAACCAAACCGGTTCAAGAACCATTCTTGTGCTTTTCTGGTGCTTAACTGGTTCTTCTCTGGTCCGCCCAATGCTGCTCTTCTGAGAGCAACCGCTCTGACAGCTCTCTCTAGTCTCTACTGGGAAACAGCTAAAAGTCCTTCTGGAGGTAAGCAACGCTACACAATTACACCCAGTCTGAGAGTAAAAGATTTCTCGAAGGTTCGTTTTGCTTTCTTACAACGTTAAGTTAATGTTAACGTAACTTTAAATTTGCTAGGAGGCTATTGTTACGAGCTAGCTGTCTTAGCTAACAACAGTTAGCAGCTAACGTTTTCTGCAGTTTGTGTTGCCCCTGAAAAACGTGATGTAGTTATTTAAGGGTATGTTAAATTAACGTTATTTTACAAGTTGAGAGAGTTAAGTTGTGTTTAAAATCGTCAATGTAATGCACGTTAGAGGTTTTGTGTTGGACATGAAGTTAGCTAACGTTAGCTTAACTCCACCAGGTTAGCATGTTAAGCTGTACTTTTTGTGGCAGCTCGCTTAATACAAAGAGGGGTTTTGTGCTTCATTGCAAACTTTTCTTTGTTAATCTACCTGAAACTGTAGGGACAGTTTGTTTCTACTCAACTATGACCATTGTTGAGGAGATGCAAAACATACTGTACATGAGTTGGGTCCAACATATACCTTGAGTAATGTTACTTTGCTGCTAAAAATGAAACATCATTATCAGATGAGTATATCACCAAAGTGTGTGAGTCTGTCAGGGGATTTGATCTGGGGGGGGTATACTACGAAGCAGGATTTTCGCTTAGCCGGCTAAATTCAGGGAAAACTCCGGCTTTCCGGTGTTCCGGATTAACTGGTTCCCCGATCAACTGGTTGACAGATGTGGAGGCGTGGCCTTCGACTGAAATACACATTTCGATCGCTTCTTCTGTCGTTTACATACATCTTTTGGTATATTAGGCTGGATAGGAACACTTTGATGCACATTCAGTACCAGTGTGTGAGGTTGTGGTTACAATGGCGATATCCGGACGCGAACAGCGAGGACTACAAAAAGAAAAACGAGTTGACATGGGGATGTCTGTTCAAAACATTGCGAGCTCCAATAAAGCATTTAAACCAGCTATTGTTGCCAGACTTATTTCTGAATATCGTTCTTAATGTGATACCAAGTCCATCTGAGACCTGTGTACACATTCAGACAGCCTCCAAGTGAAGCACACGTTGTTTACTCACAGTTTGAAAGCAGCGTGGAGAAGTCTTCAGCTGTGTTAAGTTGTGATCCGCTCGAATACATCATTAAAACCAGCTAATGTTGCCCGACTTATCACTGAATATCGTTCCTAATGTGATACCAAGTCCATCTGAAACATGTGTACACCTTCAGACAGCCTCCAAGTGAAGCGTACGTTGTTTACTCAGAGTTTGAAAGCAGCGTGGAGAAGTTTTCAGCTGTGATAAACTGTGATCCTCTCAGGTAAACTGTGATTCGCTCAGGGTCAACTGGGATCCACCCATGGGAAAATGGGATCCGCCCAGGTTAAACTGTGTTACGACTTCTGTCGCTGTGACCAGCGATCATGTTTAATATGAAAGACACACACATCTACATGCCTTATAAAAACGGCATTCTGCAGCACTCATCCAGATAACATGCTGTTAACTCGTTTTGCAAAGATAGCAGCAGAAATGTCATTGCTGCATGTGCAGGGATATTAGACTTTAAAATGCTGATGGGTCATTAATGTTGGTCTCGGCAAACAATATTAGGAATCCTTTATTCAAACTACATAATATTCAGTGTCCATCGACATGAAAATAACAAAAAAGTTCATGCTGGACTCAAACCCGAGTCCCAACAGTAAAAGTCACTCCAGCCCTGCGCGTTATGAGTGCGCCACAGATCAACATGACGTATCGAACCACCACACTATAATATTTTAGATTAACCTTGTTAAAAAGTTCCAGAAAAATGCAACCCGACCATCATTTATAATGTGAGCGAATGTACACTTTAAGCCATATAATATACATATTATAATATAGTATAGCCTACTGACTGAGGTCTGTATCAAGCCTCATTAAGACCCACCGAGATCAGATATCCTAGTTTATCAGCCTGCGAGCCCACATTATGTTGTAATAAGTGTTAGTTTTACATATAAGTGTGTTAAGGTTAATCTAAAATATTATAGTGTGGTGTTTCGATACCTCGTGTTGATCTGTGGCGCACTCATAACGCGCAGGGCTGGAGTGACTTTTGCTGTTGGAACTCGGGTTTGAGTCCAGCATGAACTTTTTTGTTATTTTCATGTCGATGGACACTGAATATTATGTGGTTTGAATAGAGGATTCCTAATATTGTTTGCCGAGACCAACATTAATGACCCATCAGCATTTTAAAGTCTAATATCCCTGCACATGCAGCAATGACATTTCTGCTGCTATCTTTGCAAAACGAGTTAACAGTCACATGTTATCTGGATGAGTGCTGCAGAATGCCGTTTTTATAAGGCATGTAGATGTGTGTGTCTTTCATATTAAACATGAGAGCTGGTAGATAGCCACAGAAGTCGTAACACAGTTTAATCTGGGCGGATCCCATTTTCCCATGGGCGAATCACAGTTTACCTGAGAGGAACAGTTTAACACAGCTGAAGACTTCTCCACGCTGCTTTCAAACTGTGAGTAAAGAACATGTGCTTCACTTGGAGGCTGTCTGAAGGTGTACACAGGTCTCAGATGGACTTGGTATCACATTAGGAACGATATTCAGTGATAAATCGGGCAACAATAGCTGGTTTTAAGGATTTATTCGAGCGATCACAGCTTAACACAGCTGAAGACTTCTCCACGCTGCTTTCAAACTGTGAGTAAAGAACATGTGCTTCACTTGGAGGCTGTCTGAAGGTGTACACAGGTCTCAGATGGACTTGGTATCACATTAAGAACGACATTCAGAAATAAGTCTGGCAACAATAGCTGGTTTAAATGATTTATTGGAGCTCGCAATGTTTTGAACAGACATCCCCGATCAACTCGTTTTTCTTTTTGTAGTCCTCGCTGTTCGCGTCCGGATATTGCCATCGTAAGCACAACCTCACACACTGGTACTGAATGTGCATCAAAGTGTTCCTATCCAGCCAAATATACCAAAATATGTATGTAAACGACAGAAGAAGCGATCGAAATGTGTATTTCAGTCGAGGCCACGCCTCCACATCTGTCAACCAGTTGATCGGGGAACCAGTCAATCCGGAACACCGGTCCTACGAAGCTGGTTCTCTTTTTAGCAGGCTAGATCTCCATGGTAACTTATGCTTAGCGGCTAACGTGGTCGGGACCAGGGGGGTATACTACGAATCTAGTTCAACATATCCTGGATATGTTTTGAGTTATCCGGTTGGCCTAATCCAAAACGAAGCCAGCCTCGCTCGCTAAACTGTCTTACAACGCTGTCTATCAACTCGTTCGCTCAAGCCAGCCGTGTCCTATCTAGTTAGGTGCGCGTTCACATGAAAGGGGTGGTATCTGGAGCATTCGACCAATCACAGACATGGAGAAGCATACTGACAGCGCAGCGTCATACTTCCTGAATGAAAAGTTAAATGAAACTATAATATTAGTCAAATAGCCTATGAAGAAGTCTTTAAAAATAAATGACTTAAACACTTTATCCAGGATCAAAGCCACAGAGCTGCACCTGCAAGGTGAATACAGCTGGTAACAGAACAAGTGTTTGAATGCGTACATTAACAGGTTTATGATATCACTGCCCCGTCCAAGACACGAGTGGACCTGACTTTAATTACATTTGACTCGAGAGTTTCGTCAACTTAATGTGTTGCTTAAAATAATACTTCTGCATACAGTATGTGACACTGTAAGCGTTGCACGGCCAGATACGGCTCAGCTGACTCAGATAAGGAAAGATCAATCAATCAATCAATGTTTATTTATATAGCCCAATATCACAAATGTTACATTTGTCTCAGTGGACTTTACAGTTTGTACAA